CTGGGGGCTGCAGGAACCTGGAACAGTGTTAAACTGGGCCAAGTACTGTAGCTAAGAGCTGGAGGAAATTTCCTTGCTGTGAGTGGACAGCCAGAGACACTGAAAGTGGTGTCAGAGCAGCACTGAACAGAGAACTGTGGCCGAGAGCCAAAAGAGATAACAAGCAGCAGAGATGGCACATAGCCAGGCTGAGAGATGCAGAGATGTCCTGCAGGAGGGAGAGCTGGCAACAGAGCAGAGAAAACTCAGTAGAGACTGTTTTGGGGTAAGACTGAATTACTTTCCCAAAACCCTTGGAGATTCCTTTTAGAAGGAGGGGATGGACTTTCATTTGAAGGGAGTCCTGAAATGCAGCAGCACCAGAGAGAGGAGCTAAGAAGCTCAGACATGTTCTGAAGCTGGATCAGGACGGGCAGAAGGAACGCGGGGGAACTGGCCTTGCCCCCCCACTGCTGCCATGTTGACAGCTGAGACAGAGCAAAGGAGCTCTGGTAGAATACTTGGGGCAAAGACTGAACTGAGAGCTGCCCTAAACGTTCTGACTCAGGAGGAGCTTGAATCCCCTGAGGAAGGGACTGTCACGAAGATGCCCTGCACTTCATGATATGACGTGGTGAGGTGAGCCTTTGTCCCAGTTATCGCAGTCCATGGGAGAGAGACCTTTGGCTGGAGCCAAAGGGCCGGGGGATGAGAGAAGACCCCTTGTGTTGTAATAGAGAGAGAGACATTCCAGCTACAACTCCAGCTACGACTGCTGCTTTGAAGAGAAGAGACACTGCTGCCCTGACAGTGGAAAGGATATTTTCTTCTTCCCTTCTGAAGTTTTATTGGAGGGAAAGGAGAGATTTGATCTAATGTAAAAATATTGCTTTACCATAGGAAAGATAGTTAGAATTGTGTATATAATGTATTATAGTATTTATTTGTGTAAGTAATAAACTGTAATATAATTCCCTTCCCCCATACTGACTTGTTTTATGTCTGGAAAAACCCTCTCACACTGAAACAAACTGTGGGAGGGGGGCTTCGACTTGGAAATTGGATTTTTGAGAGTCTCAAACCACCACACTTTCATAAAATACAGAGCTTATTCAGATATTTGGGTAAAAAGGTCTTTTCTGAAGTTCTGTTTTGTGTGCTAATCGCTAAAGCTGGTATTATCTTGCATGTTTTGAAGGAGCCTAAGAGTTAGTTATCTTACTTAGATGTTTTTGAACTGATAAAAATTATGTTTGTGGTTTTGTCTGAAAAAATTTCTCTTAAATTAAAATACATGGGGAAAGAGGGAGAAAAGATTTCCTTGTTTTTATTTGGAAGGCAATTAAAGCTACAAGAAAGGAATCAAAACTGATCAATAAAACAACTTCATAACAGGTTGACAAATTTCTCCTTTGTTTTTTTGTTAATTTATCATTATTTTATAAAAATCATTAGTGAATAAGAATCAGAAAAAACAAGTTAATAAAGATAAATATTTTTTCTTCATTTCTGAAGCAAGATTGCTTATGAAAGTTCTAGTAATACACCATACTCTAAATGCTTTCCATAATTGCTTTTTTCTCAGAAGTCAACATATTCAAGGTCAGCAACGTTTTCTCAAATGCAAGTAAACATCTGTATTATTGTGTTATTTGCATGAAGGCTTATAGATACAATTAGACCTTTGTCATTATTTCTTTGCTAATTATCTTGTTGACAAAGAAACACGGGAGAGAAAACTGGCTAGTAAATGCTCTTTCATAAGCATCCAGATGTTTTTAATTCTGTAGTGTAGAATTTTCATTGTTAAAACCAATGTTTTTAACAGACATATAATGCAGTTGACTCAAAGAAGCAAAATTCCTGTTCTGACAAGCAGACTTCCAAAGCGAAAAGAACTATAGGTCAGGAACTATAAATACGGGAGCACCTGCAATAATAGCTTTTTTCTGTCACACGAAGTGGGGGAGACAAAGTCTCTTGAAATCTATGTGCTGGGATTATATGGTGGGAATCAGGATATGTTGGCTTTGCTTTTGGTTTTACCATAGATCTTCTCTGATCTTGCATAAGCACAAAATGTTTCATCTCTTTCTTGTCTGCGCCCATCACAAAAAGAAATATGATAATAACAACCTTTCTGTGAGAGTTTTCTAATCTTGAGAGGTGTGTGTTGGATGGCTTGTTTGTTTTTTCAATACTACCTTCTCATGGAAGCAGAGCCAATGGGATGATCCTCACTGTGTGCACATTCCACCTTTTTGAAATCTATTTCAGCTAAGTTTACAAAGAAATATCAATCTCAAATCTATACAGTTTGTACATGTATGGTCTCCAACAAGGGTTGCATCAGAGCTGTTCTGCATGTGATCTGGATTGTTGTACATGTACAAGGGGACTGAAGCATCTCAAGCACTTTACTATACTGTACTTAGAAATTTCATTTGGCATGTAAAAACTGTACCATGTCCTGCACTGTTGGTCTGTGCATGTAGAGCTGTCGGTGCAACCTCTGGTGTTGCAAGTTTAGTTTTGACTGAGGGAAGGGCAGAAGAGTGATCTTGCATCTTGTCAGAGTATCCATTAAAAAATAAACTTCACTTGGAGGAAATTCCTACAAGCACGGAGTCAATCAGTCGTTACTCTCTTATCTCTTGGAAGTGGGACTGCATTAGTCCTGGTGCTCTCAGAACTATCATCAAATTTTTAACTGTCCTAAATGCTGAAGCCTTAAACTTAACATGTTTACATAGTTAGATATTATTTGAGGGAAGAATTTCTAGATGTAGTGGGTCTGTTTTTTCTTCCTTTCCTTCCTTTCTTTTGTAGAAGAAAAAAAAAATAGGGATCCTAGAATTTGGTGTGAAAATGGTGTTGTAGTGCAACAGCAGCAAAGATCCAGATATGTGTGTATGGGGACAAAAACAAAGGATGTGGAAATGTAGACAAAGCCTCTGGTAGGTAGAACTAATTGTCACTTTTCAGGCTAGAGCCTCCAGAGATCCCAGGGAAAAATGTGTTGCTCTGAAATTGTTTACTCTTGCTGCGATGCTGAGACACTCAGTGTCCCATAGGCATCCAGTCCTACCTTTGGAGAAGTGAGAACCCAGAGACTGTCACTGAGACTCTTGCCATGAGCAACTGTGGAGCACAGGCTGATGTGCTGAGTTCTCTTGTGGTCCAGAAGTAACCACAGGGGAGTGAAGAGAGCCAGCAGTCTAAACACTATTTAAACTGAAATCTCTGCATTTAGTTATTTCCAGCTTCACATTTTAAGTGTTGCTGAATAGTCATGTAGGTCTGCTGCTAAGACTTTGAACCTTCTCTTTTGAGAGGTTCCAACCCCCTCTGTTGGTTTTTAAAGAATGCAGAAATTTGGGTGAATTTAGTGCCCTGATACACTCCCCATTTGAGATTTTTGCTCAAGTCTCTGTTCAGGTTGTAAGTGACAATGAATTTAAGACCCTTATTTTAATTTACAGGCTCCTTTTTTTTAAAGTCCACATAGAACATTTAAGACATGATCTCATGGTGTACCAGGAGACCAGCCCTCCCCAGACCTTTCTGCATTGCAGTCAGAAGTTCTCTTTGCAATTCAAAGGGTACAAGTCATAGAGAATTTGCTCAGGACCATGGTAACTTGTTTTGTTGGGTAATTATCCTCATGGCTACAACATTGGTGGCACACTTGTCCCTAATTTGTCTAACTTGCAGATCTCGTTAGGCTTTTTTGCTCTTGGTAATCAAAGAGATGGAAAAGGTTCTGTACAGAAGTTTGCTTTTTGATATCCATCATTCAATACACTGATGTGAATTATATTGATTATACTGATTGTCTTTCATATAGAGTTGGATTTTGATTACAAAAATATCTGTACAGTTTTAAAGAGTCATTGTAAAAGAGATGAGAAATATTTTAGTGTAATCTGGCTCATTACGGAAAAGATATCCCCTAGTTTAAGAAATTCTAAATTTGTTGTCATAACCATAAAGCAAGTTTTGCTTTTATTCTTGGTCTTTTGTAGCCCTGAAGTATCATGAATGGATTATTTCTCTTCCCTTTCTCCCATCCCCTGCTTTCCCAATCCTTGCAAGTTGCATATTTACACTCTGAGTGAGAGAACATTTTAGTGGCCCGAGATTCTGCTGACCTGTAGGATTTTTCCAGTAATTAGATCCATGTTTGCTCTATGGGATATTCAGTTAAAAATGAGAGGGGTTTATTATTATTATTACCTGCTGAAACCCCACGTTATGTTCTTGAGTGTGTATATGACAGCACTGTAATGAGGAAACCTACTCTACTTAATTCCATTTTTATTCAAATATTATGGGATCAAAGATTCAACTTGAATGTTAGCCTAGCCCATCTGTCCTCATGTAGATGTAAAAGAAAGAGGGGAGAGACATAGAAGCTACTCATGTGAGTGAACAAGACTAATTTGGTTGTGCATCTGTGTGTGAGCTTGGGGAAGAAATGAAGGAAATGTTCAGGTTTTGTGATCATAGTGCAGCATGTGACTCTTGTGAAGCGCGGGACACACTTTTACATGTTGCAAAAGGCCAGGTGGCATGTCCCAGTGTCAGTTCTACACAGAAATAGTGAAGTTCTAACTCCTACATTACATACCTGTTCTGTGGAAAAACTTTACTGAACACACCACCTGGGTTGTCCTCTAAAGTCTGCCAGGGCATTGCTGAACTTTTTCAGTGGCTTTTGCAATAAGTCATTACCCTCTAACTGCAGCGTAGACTATCAAATTTCATTCTTTGAAAGGAAAATATTTTTCAGCTTCTGAAGTATTCAATGTCTTAACAGCAGCTCTCACTCAGTTGCTGTCCCGCCAGACTGTCATTCTGGAGGGTAAATTTCAGTCTCACAAGGACTCAAGCACAACTGTGCTCTGACTCCAGTCTCTCCACTAAACAGAAACAAACACCACTTGGAGATAGCACAAGTTGACATATGTGTGGCTCATACAATGACCTCTATGTTTTGTTTTTTGCTTTTTTTTTTTTAGATAATTGTGATGATGCGTTGATATCTCCTGTACCTTCAACAGCCCTTACCAGTTCCTCTGAGCTCTCCAGTACCCACAGTCCCAGCTTTGCAAAGCTCAACAGGCGAGATGGTAAGGTTGCAGTATGAAATGCCTAAATTATTCTTTTTAAGCACATTTGCAAAGAGTTACTTTTTATGTTGTATTTGTGCAGTGCATTGAGACAAATTGAATAGAGCTATTAATTTATGCTTCTGAGAGGGAGCTATGTAGGAGCTATTTCTTCCTTTATTATAGAAAGCTTCTATTAAATTCAAAGCTCTCTACTTCTCTTGTAGAGACATCCTTAAGGAAGTTCAGATAATCTTTCTGTTTTTGATGAGTTTCCATAATTTTAAGAGCCTGAAGGTCATAAGTTTAGAGGCCCTACTCTAAAATGTAGGTGTTAAAGATAGTAGTGACTAGATATAAAGTTCCAGTAAAAATAGTGAATATGATAAAAACTTTGCAGACATCTGCAATGAACAATGTTTGAGGCCCAGATAATGAGTTCACACACAAGGAGAAACTATTAGGATGAAACTTGGTACCAGAAAAGAGAAATTGGCAGTATCTAGGGCATCATTTGACATCCCACTGAAAATTTGGGTTGTTGGCTCCCATTTTATTCCCAAGTTAGAGCCTGTAAAGGTTGAAAGGCCTGTATTGTTATATTACATGTGATTTTAAATTTAAGAATCATTAGAAAGTATACTCCTAGAAAAAAAAGAATTTAATTGAAAATAAATGAAAATTTTCCTTCTTAAACATCTCTGAAGTGTCTGTTTTAATCAAACACTATTGGATAAATCTATAGAAAGACAGTGAAGCGCTCTCTCTTATATGCTTATCAGTAATGAGAAGGAGTTGCTAGGTCATTAGAGAAGTGTTAGATGGGAGTTATTATATCATATATATACTCTTGAACTAGAGTTTTTCAACAAGTAAAAAGACATATGGTAGTTGCTCAACAGAAGAAGGTTGTAAACATTGAGCATGATGTTTGAATTTTCCCTGCCTTTGTCTCCAGCTGCTGGCCAGGATGGTGAATAGATATGCTTATGAGATTGTGCAAATGGCTCTAAAGACTAATTTTATCTGCAGAAATAAGGAAGAGATTCAAAGTCAATATTATTTCTGCTTGTACTGTATTTTAAAGGGATATTAATAATATCTAAAATTATGACAATGATTTCAATTTAACTTCAGAAATTGAACTAGGTTGTATATAGCTACCATACAGTAGTTTTGTCATGTAGTGAGGGGAAAGGTATTGTAGTTTTTTAGAGATTTGGTATTGCATGTTGTCCTTTAGCGCTAATCATGGGAACAGGAAGACAGAGTATTGAAACCAAGCCCTAAGGGAGTTGTTTCAGCAACGTTTATTTCATGTTTTGAAGGCTTACATGGTAACTGAGGAACTGAAGCCAACTCAGGGACCTAGAAGCTAAATTCTACCTTGATTAATTCTTTTGTTGCATGGACTTTTGCAGGAATGGGCAGATATAGTGGCAGCAGAGTTCATGTAGCTACTTATTGTGGCTTAACCCCCAACAACAATGTAACCCCACACAGCCACTCAACTCCAGCATGGGCTTACCCACAGTCCTTTCAGAAGTAAATTTGCTCCTGCCTTACCCATGGCTGCAGTCTCTCTGTCAGGGGCTTGGCCATGGCCATGTTCTTTGACATACTTCAAGGTGACCTCATGCACAGCCATAGATGCTTCAAGGTGTATTTTCTCTAGTGTGGACTTATCCTGGGGCCTCAATCCCTTCCAGAGGTGCACCAGCTGTGTACAGAGGTAACAGTGGCCACAGGCACTTTGAGATGTACCTGCTCTGGCATGGACTAATCCACAGCCACAGACCTTCGAAGTGTCCTTTTGCCACGTGGACTCATCTACAGGTCACAGCCCCTTCAACTGGAGTTCACACTGGAGTTCCAGGCTGTCCCAGTAGAGTAGCACAGGAGCAGCAGCAATACCCTGGCCATTTGCCAGCCCAGGCACATGGCCATTGCTGTTATCAAACTGTTCCCAGGCACAGCAGAATTGGATGATAAGCAGTACAGCAAGCAGCGAAAGCAGAAAGTAGCTACTAATGAGCACTAGACTCTAATAAACAGTAAGGGAAGCAAGCCCCATGGCAAACACAGAAGCCTGCTGATTAATAGCTAAACAGCAGTAACAGCTATAAATTCCATCTAGCACATTCCAATCAAATCTGTAATTATCTCAAACCCTTTGAGACACACGTGGGGCACGTGTCATGGCTCAACCCCAGAAACTCAGCTCCACGCAGCCACTCACTCACTCCCCCCTGGTGGGATGGGGAAAAGAATCAGAAGAGTAAAAGTTATAAAAGTTGTGCATTGAGACAAAGACATTTTAAAAAGTAAAGCAAAAGCCTTATGTACAAGTAAAACAAAACAAGGAATTAATTTACCACTTCCCATGGGCAGGCAGGTGTTCAGTCATTTCCAGGACAGACAGGCTCCATCACATGTAATGGTGACTTGGGAAGACAAACACCATCACTCAGAACATTCCCTCCTTCCTCCTTTCCCCCCCAACTTTATATGGGAAATATATGATGCCACATGGGAAGGGATATTCCTGTGGTCAGCTGGGGTCAGATATCCCAGGTGTGTCCCCTCACAACTACTTCTGCCTGCCCCACCACCCTCACTGGTGGCATGAGGGTGGTGGGGTGAGGAGCAGAAAAGGCCTTGGCCTAAGTGTAAGCACAGTGGTAACAAAATAAAACTCAGCAATAACAACAATATCTCTGTATAATCAACACTGTTTCCAGCATGATCCCAAGGAAAAGCCCCATATCAGCTACTTGAAGAAAACTAGGTCACTTGTGCTAGAACCAGCATAGTTTTTCATCTTGAGTTGGAGCAGAAAGCAGTACTAGATGGTGGCTGAAGAAACTTTCTTTGATTGTCACTTGAATGCAAACAGTAGATACCTTTACAAGAAACATTCACTAACAGGGACTGGGCTATGGCTTTCTAATAGTGTTGGAGTGTTTTGATGAGTTGGTTTGATTGATAAGACAGTGCTGCAGGGAACAGTGCCTCCAGGTAGAAAGACAAATCAATTTGTTTGTTAATGTAAATAAGAATGCAACAAGTGAAGATGAATTTATAAAACTCAACCCAGACCTTTATCAATACAAAGTTCTAATTCATCAAGTTAATTCAGTAAAAGATAACAGTAACTAAAAGGCTGTTGTTTAAAAAAGGCCTGTGGTAGTGGAATGTGCTGTTTAAAAAAACAAACATAGAAACTATAGCATGATAGGTACTTTACATGGTAAAGAAGGAAGCATGCTCCTTGTGAGGTGGTGAACAAAGAGGTTTATTTCAAATTTGGTGCTTCCCTTTATACCCTGATATCATGTGACCTTCTAACCAATAGGGTTATCCATTTAGACACATACTCTTTTGGGCTTCTCTGCCCCGCACGTCCCCCGTGCCTTGGACACGCCTCCTACAACAAACTACCCATGAGTAAAGCTTAGTGTGAACAACTGAAAGTGCTCAATTAAAACGCTGATAAATCTGTACTTGTAATAGTAAAGCAGCTAATATAATTCTGATAAATGTGATTCTAAGTTATGAAATATATTATTTATCCATGAGAGGGATTTAGTAGCTTTTTTGCTTACAGTAAATAAATAATAAAAAATAATAAGAAAATTGCTATAATAGCACTGTATCACCTAAGATTTTTATATTCTTATTAGCTCTTAGCCTGAATAGTCAGTATAAGCAATTATGTATGAGAATATAAAACATATATAATGTCAAAAAGAATTTGTTTTGTGGCCAGGAAGTGTTTGATCTGGGCATTAAAGTAAAATTCTGCAGCAGGGAAGCACTTAGTTACAGCAGGAAGTTCAGGAGTTTTACTGCAATTTAAAGCCAGTTGAGCTGTTTGCAAGGCACTGCAGGGTGGAAATAATAATTCCTTTTGCTTTGTATTAATGAACTACAAATAAGCATGGGCATCCTGAGCAGCCCTGGGGAACAGCAAGAAGCACTGACTGTGTAACACTGGGCTTAAATGCAATTTTTGAAACAACTACGACAAAATGTACAAATAGCCTGAAAAAGAAAGAAAAGTATTTGATCATATTTCTTGGAATCATGTGAGTCTCCAACTGAGAAACCATCAGATCTTTGCTTTTCTCATATTTCCAGCATTTTGGTTTGTTGCCATGGAGAATATGAGCAATATATCAGATTCCTGTGGTACTGTTTCTTCACTGGGACATTTTCTCCATACCATGTTGAATGTCTCCTTTGAAATGATCCATAGAAAATGTGAAATGTGTGAACTATGAGGAATGATGGTGTAGCACAATGTGCAGAATCTTGTCAGTGCAGGTGGGAATCTGATGGGCAGAAGGAGAAATTTTATGTCCCTCAGACATTTTGTAAAATGTCAAACGTGGACTTTATCGAGTATCCTGTCTCTCTTGTTTTCATGTGAGAGGCAGTGTGACATCTTCATATATTAGTACTTTCCAGATTACCTAAAACAAATGTTTAGATCTAGTGGGCATAATTAAAGCCAAATTTTGTCTGGTTTGTGTTTATGCCACTCTTACTAAAAGTTGTATGGTTCTCTTCAATTTCCTTGTGCCCAACTGCAGGAAAAGGATATCAGGGCTATGCTTGTGTCTGTTCAAAGGGGTTGATGTCCTGTAAATAGTGTCTCCAATAACCCATGTTTTTGCATATTAGAGTTTTCTTGTCCTTTGTCTTGAGTCTGCACTTGCAAATGATCCCCAGGACAAGCTTCACTAGTGGGTTGAGGAGCAAATGGCTGCAAATAGTTGCTATGCTTTGGATGTGCTTTTTTGCTACTTATCGGAAAAAGTATGGGATGGGGTATTTAAACACTATAAGGAATGATGTGCATAAAAGAAATGTGGAGACACAGATTGTGGCAGTATCCAGTATCCTTTGTGCCACCTGCTCTGTGTAACAGAGCAAATATGGGCAAAAATATAGTTATTGATTTTTTGCACTCACAGCTGTATTTGGTGAGGATTTGGGATAACCACAAAAGCAAGCAGAAGCTACATGTTTGCTTTATTAGCAGAAGTGAGAGAGGCCCAGTGGGAAAAGCTTTAGTTCTGCCCTCAGTCATGCAGCCAATGCAGTTCTGCTGTTGCAGGGATTTTAGCTGCCATTCTTACAACAGTAGAATTACTGTCCATCTGTGGAAATGGTTATGATGGAAGGCTTGGGAGAGGAAAATACAGTGGGCTTTTTTTCTCCATTGGAAAAGATATATGAAGCAGCTACTCTGTAAAGGCATGGTCTGTAACTGATACATCTCTTGCAGGACCAGCTCTGAAGAGGTGATGCTACAAGCAGGTGTCAGTGCTGTGTCGTGCAGTGCTTACATCTAAAGAGTGACATTTCCAGCAGACAAATCTGCTCATATAAAGAGATATGCAGTTCAGGGAAACCATGTAATCTGTGGTTTTAGAGCTCAAGCTCACCACAGATCTCCCAAATTTCCATTCAGTGTGTATCATTTGTTTGACTTCGAAATTATAAGCCAGAGGCGCTGTGCTCAAACTGGAAAATAGCAGTGCATAGTAAAGACAAACACTTTTGTGGAAAACATATCACATTCCTGCCACTTCTTGCAGCAAAAGGGGCAGAGCATAACGTACATAGAGTAGATATTTATTTATGATATTTGATATAGTAGTTACAATATTTGATATCCTACTGGAAAGCACCTGTGCTAATAAGCTTGGCTTAAGAATTTATGTATAAACCCGAACAGAGAAAGCAAAGCTTTTTATTTTTTTAAATGGGAAACTCATCAAATAAGTTATTTATTATAAGTGTTTTTCTCAATCCAGTTGTTGCTGTTTATGTTATAGAAAGACAATAAAGGAAAGATAAAAATGCCCTCAATCCAGTTGTTGCTGTTTATGTTATAGAAAGACAATAAAGGAAAGATAAAAATGCCCAGATTTCTTTTAATGTTTATGAAAACATCTAGGATAGGCTCTTTGGAGCCTTAAAGGAAACAACTTTGTTATCACAACTTTTGAACCAAATTTTTATATCAGGTCAGTTCCTGGAATAAAACTAAAAAGCAGCAACTATTGTTTTCAGAGTCTGTTTCAGATACTGGATATTACAAGCCAAAGGAATTTTGCCTTTGGATTGTATGTACATTATTCACAATTTGGTGTAGGAGAAATCTGCAGTTTGTTGCCTTCAAATACGATTACAAATTTTGTGTCTTAAAGGCAGACAGAAGTATTCTTTATATGACATTTTAAAAAAAAAAGAAAAAAGGTGGTTGGAGAAGAAACATTATTAGGACTTCTAATAGGAAGTATTACAGTCTTATATAAGCTATATCTAGGTTTAGTGTTATGAAGTAGGCAGAGAAATATTGAGTGATGAAGTTCCTAATATTCTCATTAGGTCTTTCATGGCATGCTCATGGGACAGCATATTCTATTTAAGGCAGGTAAAATAATCACAATGATGACAACTTCTATTGTGATTGAAAAGGGTAAGATAAATTATAGCACTAACAAACAGTATGCATTGGTTTGGTTGCAAACTATTTTCCCTGGAGAGTTCTTGTAGAGGAATGAAGACTGAGTCATCCGGGGGAGCAGGCACGATACTCAGTTTGAGCTGTGGAATAGATATGCTTCTGTTTCAGGAATTAAGATAAATCCTATATTAATGTATTGTAAATAATGAAAATTCTAACATTTATTCTTAGACAAAGAAATTTCAGTTGTGAGTAGTACAATGCATTCTAGGAGAACAAAGACATTTTTTAAAGTACAAAGTTATTGAAATTGTGTTCTTTATTGTAAACCACATTTATTAATATTTCAACTCTGTTCACTTCAATGAACTCTTCAAGGAGCAACTTTGAGACATATCAGTTAATAAGATTAAAATATTAAGATAAATCCAGGTATTTATAACCAAAGTTTAGAGATGCATTTTGTTTGGAATGCTTATTTGCAATCATTCCTGTAGTTTATATGAGGAATTGTTAGTCCTTCACCATCAACTCTGTATTTCCCCCTTTCTTTCTCAATGTGATCGTGTTCACTGTAGTCACACATAAGTGCTTTTGTAAACTTCATCAATAATGACAAAACAAAAAGAAGATGGGTTGCAGAGGCAGCTTCAGAATTTGCTGCCTTGGAACCTTTGTTGATGGCTTCTATGTTCTTCACAGCTGCACTGTTCGCTTATTTGTAAGCCTGAAGTGAATGCTGGGCGTATACGGAGAATAAATGTCTGTAAGTAGAAACCAGCTGAAGGAAAATAAACATAGCCTATAATTTAAGGGTGTAAAAGAAAGCAAGAGAACATAAAATAATATATTCCAGTCTGGAATGATTTGCCTTTTAACCATAAGCCCTCATAGTGAACAAAGTGGTAAAACGCAAGCAGTGGTTGCAGTTCTATTTCATTGGCTTGGTGTTACTGCAGACCTGTTTAACCTCTAAAAGAATTGAAGCAATAGCACATATCTTTACTTTTAAAGGACAAACATGAATTACAAGTTCGGGTAAGAGAGGCCACTTTCCAGTGTGAAGGCACTTTTAGTTGTTGAATCAAATGGTCTCTAACTTTATAACAAATTATCTGAAATGCATTTCCAAGCTGTAGTAAAACCATTCTTTCAAATACTTAGTAGGGCTCAAATAAAGATAACTAACATTTTTGCATTTCTTTCAAAACATAGCAAAAAAATGTCAAAGCAAACTGGAAGTTACAAGTCTGCATTCCCAAAATTGCAACGAGGGAATAGATATGATTTTTTTTCTTTTTTTGTGACAGGGGATGTGCCAACCTCACTGATGTTTGTCCAACTGCAAAAGAATGAATTTCCTTAAAATTAATTAGAAATTTGAAATTCCTTATGAAATATAGGTTAATGGAGAAAACCTGAAGGAAGCATATCTCATGTAGCATATTTCCTAATACAAAAATATGAACAAACAGTCGCATGTTCAAGAATTAGAGTCCTCTGTGATGAGTCGAAGTAATTACGTGGTTCTACATAATTCCTTGTGCTGTCATTGTCATCTAACTTCTTTTCATCTAATCTCCTCCAGGAGCTGGTGGCTGGTCCCCTCTGGAGTCAAATGAGCAGCAGTGGTTGCAGGTTGATCTTGGGGACAGAGTGGAGATTGTCACGGTCGCTACGCAGGGCCGGTACGGGAGCTCAGACTGGGTAACCAGTTACACGCTGATGTTCAGCGACACCGGACGCAACTGGAAACAGTACAGACAAGATGACATCATCTGGGTAGGTCTGAATTGTGAATGCCTTTGGCCCGTGACCTTTCTGGTTCAGGCTCGTTTTGGCATGTGGAGAAACAGCTTCAGATTCACATCAGTGGAGTGCTGCAGTAGTGAGAGAGCCGACCCGAGTGACTCCACAGAGTGTTTTGATGTAAATGGGTTATGTCACTGACTGACTGTGTAATACAAGTTTAGGCCCTCAGGACTACATTGTTTTTCAGACTATGAGGATGCTCAGGGCACTCAAAATGACCTACGTGCTTCTGTGCCTGGTTGGCTTTGATTCAGGCACAACAGGGTAAACGGGGCTAATCACCTGTGTGCTTTCTCCAGGAAATATGGAAATTAATTCTATGTCTTATACATGTTTGACCAGAACAACAGAGCTCATGCTGGGGGAGATGGGTGGTAAATTGATCCTCAGCTGGACGAGTCGAGGGATGATTTAGCATATACACTAAAAGTGCTCAAGGCTTTGCCTAGTATTTTAATGCAGACTTGATGCTTGCTGTGTCACGAATTCAGTGTGTAGCCATACCAGATGCTGTCAGCAGGAGTGCATGGGGTAGCAGTGCCTCCACAGGTGTGGATGGAAAAGTTTACAAACCTTCCATTTGTACGGAACATGGCAATTGTTAGTGAGTCGGTAAAAAATGGTAGCATCCTTTCTGTGCCATGTTCTGTGGTTCTGAGATTAACAGCCCCAGTGGCATGGCAGTATGTGGTAAAAGAAACAGATTCTTCATGAAAATAAAAGGGAGCATGTGAAGAGTGACCAAGTAGACTTATGTTTTTTCTTTGATTTACACTTTGGTTAAATGCTATGTCACAAAAGCAGACTTTGCTTCCAGAACAAAGTGACTGCGAATGATGAGAGCTGTGGTGCAGTAGGAAGACAAGAGAAGGGCTGCTCAATTTTTCCCTGAGCGTGTTGCAGGCAATGGAGATGCATGCACAGGGAGATTAACTTCTGAGGTTTTAAATTCCATTGTATTGTCACAGTCCTTGGTTTATCATGGTTTGATTTAGGGATTGTGGAAATCCTTCTTCCTTTAGAAAGGCAACTTTGGCCCTAAGATAGTCATAAAGTTGTCAAGTGCTTCGACTATCACTTAAAATGTTTTGTTAGGCTGTCTTTGCTCCAGATACTTATACTTTTTTCAGTATATTTTAAACAAGTGGAATTTAATTTTGGACTGAACATAGTAATCATTTAATCTGTCTCTTTACTTCCACCCTTGGGAATCAGAAATCCATAACTGAGCTATTTTTACAGATTTGGTGTCAGTTAAGTGCTTCTTTGCCTGAAAATACTATGTGACTTGTTAAAATTTCGTATTAAGACAAATTAATTTTTTATTACATGTCAAAATTTTCAGTCCTTTCTGGAAGCCCTTGTACTTTTATTTTCTTTTGTAATTTTTTTCTTCTTAAATGGAAACTTGAAAAGACAACATATAGAATTTACTATAGCGAATCTTCACGTCCTAAGGATCCAATTTATGAGTTTCTGATCTGACACCTAATATTGCACATGAGAGTAAGAACAAGCTTAGCAGGCATTTAATGCTAAATTAGCATTTAGGAACATCTTGAACTCTTTTTTTTTAACTAGAGTGATCAGCCATGAAGTTGATTCAAGGCAGATCCTGATATGAGTTCTAAAGTTTCAGCAGATCTAGAAGCTTACTCTCTGGAGAGGTAATTTTTGTACATATTTCTAATGGAAAACACCATAGGCTACAGGGGTTAATTTTCTATATAAATGGGGAAAAATGAAATAGAATTTGTATGTGGAAAAGGTAGCTCTAAGAAAGGATTTGGATAATTTTTCCCTCACATTAGTTTCTAGGAGTCACTCTGACCACGCAAGCCAGTAACTTAATTCCAGTCCAGATGAACCATTTGCTCCATGTTCCCAGGGGTCTTGAAGGGTTTGTTAGGATGCATTGCCAGACTTCACTGGTGGAAATATCTGATAATGAAAATCCAAAGTGGGCTCATTTAACTTTTCATTAGACACTTCAGTCCACCTAAACTGGCAAGTCTCATTAACACTTAGGAGCTTGTATGCCTGCCCATGGAATTAATGAAGATCAAGAATTCCTTCTGTTCAATTTTTATTCTAACTAAAGAGAAAGTTGATTTGCTTTTTTTTTTCCCTGACACTTTTGGATTTGCTTCACTGAATTAAATTAGATCTAGAGAGCCATTCAGAGCACAATGAAGGAAGCCAAAGAGACTTTCAGAAGCATGTATAGAATTATAATCTCAAATTTTGCAGTGTTTCTGTTTTATTGGCAGTTATCCTTTCTGTATGTTTTTTTTCAAACTAAGAAGAAACACAGAAGTGTGCTGTCCAGCTGAATGTTGGAGGTTTTTCCAAACCCTTGGATGAAATGAGGCTATTCAACATCTGGCTGTTGAATAGGTGTAAGGGAAGTTCTGCATTGCACACCTCTAAGAAAGAACCATTGCCCTTCACTTAAGGCAAGGCAGTGGAGTGGACCATTTCACAGGGTTAGGAAAGCAGCACCCCAGGGTAGCTTCTACCGTCACAATCAGCGACAGTGTACACTATACCAATCTATCACAAGTTTGGTAGTTTCAGACTTAGGAATCTGTATCTTTGCTGTTTTTAGTTCAGTGATATTTTTTGCTTAGCAATAATGAAAACATCCCCAAATTACCAAGTGTGTTTCCTGCAAAACCCCAAAACACAGTCCTATACCAGCTACTCTGAAAAAAATTAACAGCTAAACCTAGCACATTAATCCCTTTCTGCTTTTTGGGTGGGCAGACGTCTGCCCAAATGAAATTTTTCCAAATCACGTCTTCACAAATGTCTGAGACTCCATATTGCAAGTAATGCTTCTGAGTAGCTTCCAGTCACATGGGTATAGGTTTTGTCCACCCACATGTCAAAGGTGTCCTTCAGTGCATCTGAGACTGGGGTGCATAAATTCTTTACTGGGCTGCTGATAAGACAGATGCTTGCGCTCCAGCATATATGACATATCACTAGTAAAAATCCCTTTCTCTTTATAGAGATTACAAGGCTTATTATCCTCCTCTCATGGCATGCATACAGCTCCCATCAACTTCACCGTTAATGAGTGCTGCATAGACAGATCGCGAGGAGAATCAGAAAACCTCTTAAGTTTTCACTCAGCCTGTGTTTATGATGTTAGTAAATTCTGCAGCTGGAGTTGAAGACAAGACAGATTAGCCATTTAAAACCAATTTTCCAACCCCATTTGTATTTAAATAATCTTGTTACAAAAGGACTCCGTGGTTCAGAGCAAACTAGACTTATAATTATATTTTCAATATGGATAAATCAGCTATGTGTGGACACACTAGCTATTGATTGGGAGACATAAAACATAAATCTTATGGCTTGTAAGAAGTAAATGATTTTTCAGTGTTTTTAAGTGTTGAATAATTCAGAATTTTCTTTACCTGCATACACATCGCAACTTGAGTCAGTCCAAATTGTGTATTTTACTGAGAAAGAAGTGTAGACTGTGATACAATTCTATTTCATTTTAGATAGCAATTTTTATGCTATCTGTATTGAAAAATACTCTACAAAGCTGAAAAATGCAATTATATAGGAAGGCACAAAGGAGAGGGGATGAAACAAGCATAGATGTATGCAACAAAAGGAGAAAAGAGTTGTTATTTATACAAAGCTTTGAAAGGAGAAGGAGAAGTTGTGGAATTGGAGATAAAGGGAGACTGATCTGACGGTGGCAGAGAAGGCTTTTATATTAGAACAATGAATCTGTGCAGAAAGGCAATGAAGGGGTAAAATGGCATAGATAGCATGGACAGTTTGTACTGTGTCCAAACACATGTACGAGCAGTGGCTGGCTGCTGGCTGTTGGTTGATGAAACTTCTTACAAATCTGCCATCCACTGCACATGGAAGGCAGAAGATGGCTCTGGGTAGAAGGGAGGCTGTGAGCCCCAAGCCCAAAGCTATATCAGAATATTAGAAGTGTTTCTCTAATGTTGGACCATGACACCTTGGTCATGCAAGGTATAAAGCAGAGCTTACCCCATGGAGAAGTGCCACAGTGGCAGTCCTGCTTCTTGCAGGTGTGAGGATGCTGTGCGAGGGCTGGAGAGTTGATAGGAAGCTGAGGATGCCATAGCAATATGTAATTCTCAGGGGAACAGCAAAAGTATTTAATAGAGGTGATAAAGATCCTTTGCATCCCCTTTCATCAGGAAACTTTTTACTTGTATGTGTGAGCTTTTGCTGAACCAGAGGCTTTTCTAATGAAATCTAGAGGAGGGTCACTCTTAATTGGCTTATAAATCTACAGGGGTGCTGTAAACTTTCCCATTTCTACCCTAGCTGGATAATGACTCTGGGACTGTTTTGGTGAGTTAATTATTGTGAACATAGTTAGAATATTAATCTTCTTGTCAGATTTATAGTTGTGCTAATTTATTCTAAAGCATCTTTTAGCTCCTAGTCCTAATGCCCTCCAAGCAAGGAAAAGTTCTGCATGTATCAATGAGAAGTCCTACATTGTTTGCTTGGATTAGAGAATGAGTTTCTGCTTGTCTTATAATGCTTCCTGCTGTACTAGTATTAAGATATATTTACTCTCCTTTATGCACAGTAATTATTGCCAGCCAAATAGGTGTTAAATGGTAAGTGTCTATGGATTATTTTCTTTTCCATTACTTTTGCTCTAAGAAGAAAAGAAGAAAAAGAAGGTAATTGCTACTTTGAAATAGGAATGGAGCAAGCAAGGCTTTCCAGAACTTTTTCATTGTTTTTCCTGGCAGAACTATGTTATTACAAGTTTTGAAGAGGTAACCATTATCCATTTGTTGAATTTAGGACTGTTCTGATTTAAGACTGCCTGGTTTCTGAGATGCTGTTTGGATATTATTAATTTGCTTCTGATTCTGGTTTAGCTTACTGAGCTGGCTGTAAATGTGGCCTTCTGAGTGTATTCTCAGGAACTCTGTCTTTCTTGATAT